CTAAATAAGGAACGAGGCCCCTTTTTCCCATAAGTTCAACCTCGATTTCCTATGGGAAACCTCAGGAAAACCCGAGGCAAACTTTGAAACAATGAAGGAACACCGAGCCCCTCCCCAGCGAAAAGGGATCCTTCTTCAGGGCCCCGACTGTACTCCCCTTCTCCGTAGACCATCGGGACCTGCAGCTTCAACTTCTGTGGGATCCGGCGCCGCCTCCTCAAGGCCGTCTGGTCCATCGGCTTCAGGGGCTCCTGGTTCTCGCCGTACCGCCATTTCGGTACCGCCACTGCCCTCGACAGAACCGTTTTCCCGCCGCCCAGGACCGGAAGAACGTCCTCTATCTCTGGAGCCTGGCGTCATGCTCAGCCTTGTCCTGCGCGAAGTCTGTCTCGTCCTCCTCCTTATAGATGTCCTTCCACTCGGCGTAGACCTTCGCTCCCTCAATCACATTCCTCTCCGTACCGCCAGGGAGACCGATCCTCTGCTCGCAGAGGAAGTACTCAGATGTGGTGTAGTAGTGCGGCGCCCTGAAGTGCCGATACTTCTGGTTGAACATGGACTGCCCCCTCTTGCGGGGCAGACTGCCGTCACGTCCTGCAGGCTTGTCCCAGGCCACTCTGGCGTTCAACTGGTCCTCGGTCGTCCAACACTCAGACATCATCTTCTCCTTGACCGGGACGTCCTTCAGCTTCTCGGCGATCAGGATGTCCTCCTCCTTCTTCATCTTCTTGGGCACGGCGGTGGCGGCGGGCGGAGCCTGTACTTGGCCAGGTCCGTGGCGGGCCTGTCCGCGCTGCTCCCCCTCCGGTCGTTCTTCCTCTGCAGCTGGAGCCTGAACCTCTCGGCCCGGGCCTCCGTGCTCGTCTTCCCGAGCTCCTCTTCGGTCATGCCAAGGAGCTCGGCCGTCACCTCATCCTTGACGGTGCACCACTGCCCATGCAGCATGCCTTAGCTAGGGGGGAAACAAACCTACCTCGCTTTTGACCACCCTCGCTTCCAAGCGATACCAAGCGATGCCAAACTACGGCCTGTGCTGGTCAGGCCGCTTGACGAGGAGGCGCGTGGTATGACTTGCTTTTGCCTGGAAGCGAAAGCGGGGTCGGTAATTCACGCTCTGATTAGCGGGCGACGCCCACCTCGCGAGCAGCACTGCCGCTGCCAGAGAGCCCCGCGAGCGCGCCGCGGCGGGCCTGCCGGCGGCGCCTCGGCCGCGGCGTCCAGCCGAGGGCGCCCACATCGTGGCGGCGGCCATCGGAGCGATGGCGCCCATGGGCGGTGCGCGAGGGGACTGGGTGAGGCTGCTGCGAGCACCTCTGCGGCGCGGCCTGCGCCAAAATGGCTACGGGCATCCTGCTCCCGGGGAGGAGGAGGAGGAGGAGGAGGAGGAGGAGGAGGAGGAGGAGGAAAGGAGGGAGGAGGAGGAGGAGGAGGAGGAGGAGGAGGAAGGCTGAGGATACACGATCCTGACCCTGACCCAAGCAATCCAATCCATCACTGAGCGCGCAGCGTCCTCTGCTGATCGAGGCTCCGATCGGCCAGCACTTGGCAACCAGGGGTCGGAATCCAGAAAGGGACCGCTTGAGAGAAACTTCTCCTGACCCCTGGGGCCAGGAGGAGCAATTTCTCTCAAGAGGTCCCTTTCTGGATTTCCGCTCCAGTGTTTTGCAGTGTGTTTCCTGCGACGTAGTGTTTCCTGCATGGTGTTCGCTGCGTCTTGCGTCGTGTTTTCTGCGTGAGAAACGCTGCAGCGTGAGAATCGTCGGGTACACGTAGGAGAGACCACAGGCAAGCACGACATTGGATGAGCGGCTTGCCGACCGCTGCCTACGTGCGGTGTGACAGTGGCACGCCGTGAAAAGATCAAACGACAACGCTCCCTCACCCCTCCGATCGGCTACCACGATCCACTTTGACCGGCGGCCCCCTCAGCGGCTCCATCGGGCATCTTTCGACGAGCTGGGGCCGTCTGGGCCAGGCTCCCTGCGTTGCCGGTGGGCTGCCGGCTGGTCAGGCACACCTTGCTCGGTGCGCTGCAGTCCTCTTGCCGGGGAGGGCTCCGCATCGACGGGAGGCGCGGCGCGAGAGTGCGCCGCCGTGGGCCCTATGGCACGGCGGGTCGTGGCAGAAGGCCAAGTGCTGTTCGGTAGGATTTCTGCACGCTCGGGGCCCCACGTGGCCAAGGTCGCCGTCGTCGTCGTCGTCGTCGTCGTCGTCGTCGTCGTCGTCGTCATCGTGGCTGAGGCCAAGGCCAAGGCCAAGGCGTTCGGAGAACCGCCCCCTCCTATCACGCGATCGGCGCGTTGCCACCCCCACCCCTTCCCGAGGAGGCCCTTCTCTCGCTCGTCGCGTTGCCCCCCCCCCCCCCTCTCGCGCTCCTCGCGCGCTCGTCGCGCTGGCCCCCCTCTCTCCCCTTCCCGAGCTCGCCGCGTGGCCCCCCGCCCCCCTCCCCGAGGCCCCCCGGGCGGCCCCGACGCCTCCCTGGGGCTCTTCCCCCCCCCCCCCCCGCTAAAACGACGCGAAGATCGGGACAAAATCGGATCGGGATAACTCGAAATCTCTGAGAATCGGCGGGTTTGGAGGATGTATCGGGCGCCGCGGCCGCTCCAGAGCGCTCCGCTCTCTGAGAGATCCTCTGAGAGCGCTCTCTTTTATCCCGATCCTAGCCCTGTTTGACCCCCCCACCCCACGGCTTTCAGGCCTCAGGCCAGCCCCGAGGTCCACCAAGAGGGCCCCACAATGTATCAAGAGGCACCCCGCAGCCCCCCAGATTCCGCGAGCCCTTCAGAGGGCGTGAGCGGTCTGGTGTCCTCTTCCACCCCCCCTTCTCCCCCTTCGGGGAGGGGCTTGCCTCTCCCCCTACCCCCTGCCCCTGGGTTTGGAGGGGGCGTTCCACGAGACGTTGGGGCGTCCAAGATAGCCTCGGCGGGAAAACCATAATCATTGATCTTACTACGGTGTTGGCATCGTTGTGACCTCCTGGGAGGGGGACCCTCATGAAGGAGCCCCCCATCCATTGAATGATCTCCTCCAAGATGGCCCGAAGATGGCTCCAAGACGTGTCCAGGAGGCCCCAAGAGGCCCCCAAGGGGCCCCAAGGTGCCCCTGAGAGGCTCCTGAGAGGCTCCGAAGAGGCTCCCAAAAGGCCTCCACGAGGGGGCCCAAGACGCCCCAAGAGGCCTCCGCGAGAGGACCAACATCATGGATGAGACTGAGGTTTTGCCACGCGTTTGCCGCCTCTGAGGGGGGCTATAATGTACCGACGGCGGCGTCCGGGAGGGCGACTGCGCCGCAGCAGCATTTATGCTTAGGCTGCTTAGGCTGCTTGCGCCGCGCCAAAGAAAGAAAGAAAGTAAGAAAGAAAGAAATGTACTACGGCCCCCCCTTTGATCGATCTCCTCCAAGATGGCCCCGAGGCTCCCACGGGTGGCCCGAGGCGACCCCGAGAGGTGCCCAGCAGGCCCCAAGAGGCCCTGAAGAGGCCGCCGAGAGGCCCTCGAGAGGCTCCCAAGAGAACCCCGAGAGGCTCCCCAGAGGCACCCTTCACGCCCCAGGTGGCCCTGCCGACAGACCCACACAACACCCAACTAGGACTCCAAGGAGCTCTCGGAAGAAATCAGAAGAGACTCCGAAAGGCATCCGAAAGGCATATGGTCTTTCTGCTCGCCTTCCTCCTCCTCTTCCAACTGCTCCTCCTCCTCCGTGTAGTATTCCTCCTTCCTCCTCTCTCCCCCTCTCCCTCCTCCTCCTCCTCCTCCTCCTCCTCCTCCTGCTCCTCCTTCTCCTCTTCTCTCCTCCTCCTCCTCCTCCTCCTCCAACTCCAACTCCAACTCCAACTCCAACTCCACTCCTCCTCCTCCTCCGTGTATTATTCCTCCTTCCTCCTCTCCCCGTCCCCTCTCCCTCCTCCTCCTCCTCCTCCTCCTCCTCCTCCTCCTCGTCCTCCTCCTCCAATTCCTCCTCCATCCCCAAACCTTGGAGTATGACGTCTTACTCAGCCATTTAATCCACTGCATGCTCCTACACATCCCTGATCAGGGCAACTCGTCTGGGCATCGTCTCTGGATGGGCTGGTGGGGTTACTTTTTGGTTCGCAGGCGCGCGAAACGAGTCGGGCTGGTGGGGTTACGCGAAGCGTCTAGAACAAGATCCACGAGTCGCCAAAGAGGCCGCAAGAGGCATCCAATACACCAGAGAGAAGGTCAAGAGGGTCTCCTCGAAGGCCAAGATCACAAAACTATCACGGGAAAGACATAAGGTGTTTGAACATGTAGGGTGTCCTGCGACTCTCGGCTCAAGATGGCTCAACGAGGACATCTGAGGAGCCAGAGAGAGCCCAATCTAGCCCCGTGAGGGTCCCAACAAGCCCCCCAGACTGCCTGGAACCGCCCTGGCAGGGCGCCAAGACGGCCCAAGAGAGCCCCATGACGGCCCAAGGATGGACCAAGAGGGCCCCACAATGCTCCCAGCACAGCCTCCAGATCCCCCCTATACGGCCAGGAGGGGCCCACGAGGGCACAGGAAGGCCAGGACGGCCCGGGAAGGCCACGAGGGCAGAGATGGGCCCCGAGACCACCCCGGAAGGCCAAGAGGGGCCCCAGAGCGCTCCCAGAGGGCCCCAACGGCCCCACGTGAGCCCCGGGGGGGAGCAGCGGCGCCGGTTGTTGGTAGTCCCCAAACGTGGTGGTGACAACACCTGGCGGTGAGTCTCGGGCGATTTGGCGTCACCACCCTGTTTGGGGACTCGTGCGGTTTTCCGAGGATGTCCTGGACACTGGTGGGTCCAGGAGTCACAAAACCCGGTGGTGACCCCGCGTCCCCAAACCCAGCGGTGACCTTTTTGGGGATTCCAGGTCGCCACCTGGTATCTCACCACCCGGTTTGGGGGTTCCCAAGGTTGGCACAAACAAAAAGCTGGGAGCGCCGGCAGAACGGTCCTCGGTCGACCCGCACTCGTAGTGGTGCCGCCCGACGCCGTCCGACCCCGGCGTCGTGTCCCAGAAGTACTGGTGCCGCAGCTCCTCCATGGGCTTGCACGCCCTGAACGAGGACGTGGGGCGGGAGGAGCGGGGTATTGCAGCAGACCCGTGCGTTACGAAGTCTTGCTGTCAGACCTTGGTCGTCGATCTCTGAGGATCCTGAGGTGCCCCCTAGCTTCTGTGAGTCCCTGGGGCCATCAGGGGATAATATCATTTCTGTGGAGCACCTGCTGGGAGGCCGTTCTCTTATTCTATGCGCCTCTTTCAGAAAGGGGGCAGGAGGTAAAGGTTGGGGAAAATGACGGGGTAGTCGAGGGTGTCGACGAAGACGGGGTGGAGCGAATTAGTAAGAGGGTCGGCATCGATCCTGCATGGAGGCTCCCGCCATCGACGGAGACGGCCGTAATCGCAGTCGCCGTCGTGGTGGCCGTCGTCGTTCTCCTCTTTCCTCTCCTCCTCCCTCTCCGCCCCGACCCCTTGCTCCACTCCCAACCACAAACGATCGAGTCCGAAATTGTACCTATGTCTCATGTCCAACGGTCAGGGCATCAGCAAACACCGAGAACTCCAAATGTCTGAATGCTGCGCGAAGAATCCTCTCTCAGGTGGGCAAGAGTTACTGAATACAGGTGTTACGCGTGAAAAGTGCAGCAAACGCCTGCCCCATCAGATCGAACTTTTGGTCCTCTCAGCGCGCAATCGTTTCTACATGGAATGGCTGCGATGATTTTGAAGCCCAAGACCGATACGATGTCACACGACTGTCCCATACGGTATCACTGTGTACGACACGGGAAAAACGCGCGGGACGTGCACTCGTGATGTCCATGACGCTGGGAACGTGCGCAGTCGAGCGCGGATGTGAAAACGCAATCGGCGACCCGCTGGCAATTTTGTTAGGGGTGGCTGCGATAGCCAGACTGTAGACCGCACACCGGCGCCAATCCAACCAGATTTTGCTCGGGCCCAGAACCCAAGGCATTCTCACCAACTGAACTGATGAATAGACCTCTTGCAAATGCACCAAACAAAGAGGGAGTCGGACCAATACTTAACTTTCTTCTCGACGAGGAGGGCTTTCATCTTGCCGAAGATGCCACCCCCTGGTCTGACGACCCTGGTGCGCTGGCAGCACTGGTCCCACTCGCCCGTCTGAGTGTTGTGGATCCTCGTGGCCCACCCATTCGTAGGGCGAGCAGGGAAGTTTCTGACGCTGCTGCCCCTTCGAAAATGTTGGTGATGATGATGATGACCACCGGCATGATCATGCGGGTTGCTGACAATGACGACAGCAATAATGATGAACATCATAATGATGGTGATGATGATGGCGAGGATGAAGGACGATCAGCCTGATCATGATCATGTGGACTGATGACGGTGATGATCATGATGATGATCATGCTGGTGGTAACGATGATGATGACGACGATAATGACGATGATAACGTTTATGGCGGTACTTGCGATGCTGCTGCTGGTGGTGATGATGTTGATGATGGTGATGGCGATTATGATGCCAGTAATGATGATGCTGCTGATGATGGTGATGACGATGATGCGGATGATGCTGGCGATGCTGATGCGGGTGCGGATGATGATGCCGTTAATGATACTGATGATGACGATGATGCTTATAGTGGCGACGCTGCTGATAATGATGCTGGACATGACGATGATGATGCAAGTTCTGATGCGGATGATGATGATGATGATGATGATGATGTTATTGATGGTGACGGCGCTGCTGGTAATGATGATGCAGATGCTGGTGCTGGTGCTGATGATGCTGATGTTGATGATGTTGAGGATGGTGATGATGATGACAGTCATGATGCTGTGACTGGAGTGAATAATGGTGATGCTGATTGCAACGATGATGATGGTGATGATGTTGCTGTTGGTGGTGATGATTGTGCTGCTGATGGTGATGATGATACTGATGATGATGATGCTGATGATGGCGATCACGATCGTACGTAGCGTGGCGAGCCACGTGTCTTAGTCTCAGGCGGCGAGCGAGCGGGCCGCCGCAGCCAACGCCTCAGGGTGCGCGTTATAATGTGAAGGAGGCGTGGGCCCAGGCGACCGCACCCTCAACATGCGGTGAACTTTTAACGCCAATGCGATGAGAAAGACAGCGCGCTCCCGTGAGGTCTCCCCTGCATATTCGGACTTTTCTCCAAGTCCGAGACGAGCCATGACAAAGCTGGGCAGGAAGGAGCGGGGTAAGGCAACGAGGTGGGGCAGGCGCGGGCAGGAGAGGTAGTGGGAAATGGAACCAGGCATACTCTCACACCCGAGGACACATCGTCTGGCCCAGAATGTGCATCCTGTGGGAGGTGATCCACCCACCCACCAAGGTTTTGAGCACAGACCAGAAAATCGTGGGGCCAAAACCGTCGGGATGGCATTCAGAGCGGGCCAGCGCGGTCCCGGGGGAGGAAGTGCATGTCGGGGCGCCACGCTCGCACGCGCTTCTGCAGCGTCAGGTGCACGCAATCAGGGTATAGCCCACGGGCGAGCGTACACCCCCTGGAGCTTCGGTCGTTTTTGAAACATCTCTGCCTGGGCGGCAGCCTGGGGGGCCTCGGTTGCCGCGGCGCGCTGGGGGGCCGAGGGGGCCTTCGGGGGCGCGATCGACTGCGAGCGACCGTGCAGGAACTTTACTGTGGAGCGTTGATCGCGCCAGAATAAGAAACTCAGCAGCTCTTGGACATGTCGCACGAGCGCGTTGCCCGAAAGCGATGCCTCAGAGAGCTCAGTGCACCATGCGCGATCTTGCGGGATCGTCACGCAGGCTGCGCGCCAACCCGCTGCTGCAGCGCATGCGGCGAGGGGCTGCGGGGCAACTCCAGGGCCCCATGCCCGGAGCGACCATAGATCCGGGCCCGTTACAAAGCTGGGCGGAATCTTCGACAATGTGTGCGAGCATCGCGGCCCCTTTCGCTAGGAGCAGCTTGGGCGGCGGAAGAAAAAGTGGGCCGCGTAGCCCACGGCGGGAGGAATCGCTACTTGGTAGAGGCGGAGGGGGGCGACAGGAGGCGAGCCGGAGGCCGAGTCTCGAGGATTCTCTCCCACCACTATTGCGTGCAGGCCGCCCATTGCTGGGCATTGGTGCTGTCGGGCCCGATGATTGCCCCCAGATGTTTGGCCGATCCTGCCGCCGTGAAAGACTGGCACTTCGGCGTGATGGCACGGAGGACCGCTCACACGTCCTCGATGACGGCTGGCGCACATCCTGCCCCCAGCGGCACAAGCGCGCACATGAGAGGGTGGAGGCGGAGAGAGGCGAGGCTCGGCGCGCAGGCGAAGGCGGGGTAGAGGCGAGAGAAGCACACCATCTTCGAAAGGACAGCCCCGAGGTCATCCGCGCAGCCGCCGAGCGAGCCATCGCGAGGGCCTGGAGGGAGCGCCAGCTCCAGCGAACAAATGGCTGGGTCCATGCCGAGTGCCCAGAGAGAGCCACTCAGTGGCACCCCTGCATCACGCCTGAGTTGGTAAGTAAGTGGCAGCGGCACGACCTCGTCGCGGATGCGGGTCGAGGCAAGGTCGAGGGCGCACGTGCCTCGCACCGCGGCCAGGCACCCAGGAGGAAGGCCCATGCGTTCGAGGACCGCAAAGAGCCACGTGCGATTCATGCTGGGAAGCGCCGCCTTGATGTTAAACGCCACAAACAGAGGCATCCGACAGTCACTGTCTTCATAGGAAGCGACCGTCCTAGCGCGTGCATCTAGCTTGGCTATGTTATGGCAGAAACTGCGGCCTCTGATGGATCCCTGTTGGGTTGCGTGCACACGCTCCTGGGCCAACTTTGTCAGCGGGAGATTGGTTGCTGGCGCCGTCGCTTTGGCATCGTTGCTTTTGAAAGACAGCGGGCGCGCCTCTCGTGCATTGCGAAGGCAATTGAGCGCGCCGCCGACCTTGTCACCCTTCGGCGGGAAAACAAAAATCGAGCGGTTCAAGGAGGGAGGAGGAGGCAGGGCGCTGAAAAGGCGAAGAAAGATGGGGGAAAAACAATCGATGGTGGCCGGGACGGCCAGCCATGCCTGGCACGAGAGGCGGTCGGGGCCAGGTGCCGGATTCCGCCCGCGCTTGAAGGCTTGAGAATGAGAGCGTCCTTGAAGGGAATCGGGAGGTCAGCAACTGGGAGCGCTGGCGACACTTTGCCGAAGAAGGCGGCGATTTCAGCCCGTGAAACACGTTTGTCCGAGAAAATCGGGGACCAATGGATACGGGGGCACGGGCAACGTCTTCCGGCTCATTGGCCACCGGCGGAAGCAATGAGCCTCCATCACTGAGCCTTGGGTTGCGGGCAATCTGACTGGTTGCGATGCCGCGCAAGATGCCCAGAGCGCCGCAAGGCGCTGGAAAATACGTTGGATGCGTCGCCGTGCTTCGATGGTTGGCTGGTCCTGCGCTCGGGCCGCCGGAGCAGCCGCGAGGCGTTGGGGCCGCTCATGCCGTGCCTGGTCGCTGCGAACAACAGCGCTTTGAAACTCTGCCGCGTCGCGCAGCCGTAGGGGGGGGTCCTGCAATATCCGCGAATTCTCGCCCTAGCTCCGCGGTCACAGCCAGTTGTCGAGCAGTGACAAGATCAGAGCGCCAAATGGCGCGCGCGATGGCGCGGAGCGGGGGCCTCCTACCCTCCAGCACGCTGACGTCGCCCGTGCGCAGCGGGAGCTGCTGCAGCTCGTTGCGCGCCAGCTCGGCCGCCAGGGTCATGATTTGCTTCGTGACATCGAAGCGCGTCGAGATCAGCTTCGCTCAGCATCTTGGCGAGGGGGGTCTTGCACTGCTTGGAGCGGAAGATGAAATCAGGAATCGGGTGCTGGTCTTTCGCTGGCGGCTTGCGGTTCTCGATCGCGAGCGTGATCAAGGCGCGGTCGCTGAGCCTGCTGCCTGATAGCGTCGCCATGTCTTGGGCGACGTTGAGCCGGCAGCGCAGACAAGGGGGCGAAGGCGGGAGGGGCGGCCACGAAGACGCGATCAATCTCGGCGCCCGTCTGATGCTGCTTGGGGATGGTCGGGATCTCAGAACTGGTTTCCACCGTATTCGTTCGGGCCAGCTGTCGCGACAGTTGTTGGTTTTGTTGGGATCTGCCCCCCTGCGTCTGATGCCGTTGAATCGATTGTGGCATGATGTAAGATTGCGAGGGCGCATCAGAGAAGTTGAAGTCGATCATCACGATGAGAAAACGTCATGCGGATTGCAGGGCCCGCTCCTCTCGCAAGGTGCTCCTCTGGTCACCAGCCATGTCGTAGTTGCGCGCGTCCAGGATGTGGAGCTCGCGCTCGGCGGCGACGTTGAACACGGCGAGGAGCTGGGCGCGCCCGCCCAGGATCGAACGCGATGCGATCATGGGAGGCGCAAGCGAGGGAGGCCGCCCTGCGGCGTGGTCTTGTTGAAGCGTCTCATCCTCGGCGCGAGCAAGCCCAAGGACCGCCTTTACAACACCTCCAGCTCCGCGTCTGTCCGCGCCACGCGCGGAGGAGCACCCCGGGGAGAAGCCAGAATGAGGGGCCGAGTGAGGGGGCGCGCCAATGTCATCCCCAACGCAGGTGAGAGGCGTGACGCTCTTGACTAAGAGCAAGTGGCCACGTTTTGAAGGCGTTGTCCAGCTGGCGAAACTTTTGTCGGCACCGAAACTGATTGTGAGATAGGGGTCCGCGAACGTTCCACGAGACAATCTGAAGTGGTGCGTCGTGCTGCGTGACCTCCCAAGGGGCGCAGCTTCTGTTAGATGGACCACGTGGATGCATCGGTCGAGACACAGGCAGCCTCGAACTTCTGCTTGACAACGTCTTTGCTGATGCCCATGTTGTTGACCGCCAATGGGTTCCAAATGAGCTTCGAGTGCCCCCGTGGACCCTGTGGCTGAATCTCTGCGATAGGCGTCGCCCCTCCCCGCGCGATGCCCGACTTTCGCAGCGTCTTGAAATCCGCGCCAGGGAGGGGCGCCCCGAGGATGCCCGCAACGCGCTTGGTCTGGATCCCCCTGCGCACCTGCTTCGGCAACTTGCCGCTGGATGCAAAGAGCGGGGCGTCTGCGCCGTGGGCGTCGGATGCCGAGAAGGTCCGCCATCGCCCACCCATGAGTTTGAGAGCCCGAGCCAGTGCGAACGCCTTTGGGCGCGCGACTTCAGGGCCTCCGAGTGCGAGTAGGTGGAATCGCCGTGCTGGGGCATCTTCGGGTAGTTTGACTTGTTCTGCTGTGAGTTGTGCGTCCTAGGTCTACTTGCGCTATTGCTCCGATCCGGAAGAGCACGGGGGTCGGTTCTCGATCGTATATTGCCACGTTGGCGAAGTCAGTGGCAGGAAGCTGGGCGTCAGCACAAGATGCTGTTGCTTCCAAATCGGCGGACGGCTTGGCGAAGGTATTTCTGTTCTGCTGCCCGTTGGTCCTGAAGTCTGCGAATTCTGCCGAGGTCGCGTTATGCTTGTTCAGCCCTGGCCTGCTGCGGGGCGCAGTACTGCTCGGTTGTGGTGCGAAGATCCTGTTGGACATCTGCCCAGGTGAAGTCGAAGAGGTTGCTGAGCTGCTGCGTGGCCATTGCGAGCTGCGAGTTGACGGCTCCATCGGTGGCGCGAGATAGGTCTTGTGGAACGGGTCCTTGCGGACGCCGAGGGAGCTGGAGCTTGCCCAGGTGGTGCAGGGACGTCTCGCTGAGGCCGTGGGGGTCGCGGAACTGCAGGCTCTTGGCTGGCTGGCGGCGTGGCTGGTTGTGAATGAGCAGGAGCTTGCGCAGCGCCTGCTCGAAGTTCTTGTGATGGAAACGTAGGGGCAATTTCAAGCTGCTGCGCCAACTCGGCGGCTGCTGCTGCGTCGAGTTGATGGTCAAGTCCGCGGTCTGGCGGTGGATTGGAAACGCATGGCTCGCTATCTCGGTCTCCACCAGCACCCTCAGATCGTCCAGCTGGTCGCTCTGCAGCCGCGGATCTGCTGGTGCCCGACTGCCATGGATCCCTGTGCTGAAGAGGGCCACGTGGGCCAGAATGGTCTCGAGTGCGGTCGCGAGCGTTTTCCCGACGTTGTCGACGTCGAGCCTGTCGAACGTCACTACGTCGCGCAGCACCATCCGAGGCTCCTCCGCTTCGTGCACCACGGGGGCCATTGGCCCTGGTGTCGTCCGAGCTAGAAGCAGACAGTGTGCTGGTTGAGCGTGGCAGAGCGAGCTGTCACTGATGGAGGACTGGAATGCACTGAGCAAGGCTGCGAAGATAATGTCGCCGAGGAGCGTCGCGTTCTGTGTCAGCCTAGGGATCGCTGCAGGGGTGCCTGGGGCGCGAGGGTGTCCAGGACTTGGATATGGAAGTGCTAGGGGGGGGGGGGGGGGGCGCGGCTCGGACCTGGAGCTGGATATGGAAGTGCCTGGGGCGCGAGGCTCGGTCCAGGACTTGGATATGGAATTGCCAGGGGCGGACTTGGACAAGGAGCTCTCAAAGCGTCTAAACGCCCGATGGGAATCAGATGGGAGCCTACCCCGCTGAGGCAGAGGAAAGGGAACCATCTAGGCTTTGAAACGAAATGGTTTGAGACATGGCTACGGACGATGATGACGATGACGATGATGATGCTAATGCTGCAGATGGTGATGCGTGAGGCGATGCTGATGATGTTGTTGTTGGTGATGGTGATGGTGCTGATGTTGACGCTGCTGGTGATGATGATGCTGATGTTGATGATGATGTCGCTGATGATGATGATGCTCACTTCTGATGCTGATGGTGGTGATGATGATAATGATGCTGATGATGCTGATGATGGCGATGGTGCTGCTGATGATGATGTTGATGATGCGGTGGAGGATGCTGCTGATGATGAGTGTGAGCATGACAAAGATGTTGATGCGGATGATGATGATGGTGTTGATGATGATGGCGCTGATGCTGATGCTAATTCTGCCGATGGCGATTTTGATGATGATAATGCTGATGCTGATGATGATGCTGATGCGAATGCGACTGATGACGAGGATACTGCTGATGATAATGATGATGATGGTGATGATGATGATGATGCAGATGTTGATGATGCTAATGCTAATGATGCTGGGGATGCTGATGCCTATGCTGATGCTGAGACTGATGATGCTGCTGCTGATGATGATGCTGTTGATGATGCCGATGCTGCTGATCATGATGATACTGGCGACAATGATGCTGATGCTGACGATCAGGATGATGCTGATGGTGATGATCCTGATAACGAAGCCGATGATCATGATGATGCCGAAGAAGAAGATGATGAGGAGGAAACCGATGGTGATGGTGTTGATGATGCTGGAGCTGATGTTGCTGATGCTGATGCCTTTGCTGATGCAGGCGATGATGATGATAATGATGATGATGCTGACGTTTATGCTCATGATGGTGATGCTGATGCTGATGATGCTGATGGCGATGCTGCTGCTGTTGATGTTGATGCTGATGCTGACGATTGTGCTGATACTGATGATGAATATGATGCTGATGATGATGAATGATGAACGGTGAATGATGAATGATGAATGATGAATGATGAATGATGAATAATGATGATGACGATGATGATGATGATGATGATGATGATGGTGATGATGATGATGATGATGCTGATGCTGACGCTGATGCTGATGCTGATGCTGATGATGATGATGATGATGATGATGACGCTGATGAGGATTATGATGACGACGCTCGCGAGATGATGCTGATCACATTGATGACAACAAGGGAAGGTGGAGGACGGAGCGGCAGCACAAGGAGCAGACAGCTCATCGGGAGGATGGGGAGCAGAGCAAGAAAAATGACCAGGCGCACTGGGCCTTTGGGAGGACAAGGCGCGGGAGGAGACGCAATATGAGAAAGAGGACGAAGGAGGGGGACGATACTGCTCGCGAGGGAGGGCGAGCGGAAAAGGCTCCAGCGACACCCGGACGGCCGCATCTCGGAGGTGTCAGAGGGGTCTGAGGTGGATCAAGCCTGTTGATAATCGGCCTAGCAGAGAGAGAGAGAGAGAGAGAGAGAGAGGGCGGGCAAGTCCGCTCAAACTCGGTCGCTGGACTCCCCCCGGGGTGCACCCGTTCTTCCAGCCGCGCCCGGCCGTGGCGACGAGAAGCCCCTGCCCCCACCTTTCGGAGGCCTGGAAATTGGCTCCAACACCAAGACAGAGGGCTGCCTCCACAGGGGGAAGATGATCCTAGATGTCGGCGTTTGTGGTAATAGTTCGACCACCTTGAAGCTAACATATTACCACCATCGCCGAGATCGGGATCTTCTTCCCTCGGTGGAGGCACACCGCCGATATTGGTGCTGGTGTCTACCTCTAGGCCTGCGCCTGCCCCCACCTCCGGCTGGCCAGACCCAAAGCTGGAGCACCTCAGCCCCAAGCCGGCTCTAGCCTCCAAGCCAGACCTGATGAGCGCGTTTTCCACCACCACCACCATAAGTTGGATGGGGCGAAGGGGGAGGAGGAGGAGGAGGAGGAGGAGGAGGAGGAGGAGGAGGAGGAGGAGGAGGAGGACCCCCCCCCTCCAACTTATGGTGGTGGTGGTGGAAAACGCGCTCATCAAGACCTCCCGCGGCCGACCCTCCACCCGTGCGGGCCCAGCGCGGCGACGGCGGAGGGCCGACAGGCGCGCCGTGACGTACACGGGGTCACTGCAGAGGGTGGCGAAGCTCGACGCGCCCGGGGTCTGCGGGGCGAGCGGGGGGCGGCAAGGGGCGGGGGGACGCATCTCCAGATGTTTCCCGGCGCGCTGGCCCCTTTCTTGGCGGATCGGCCTGCTTCCCGGCGGAGCGCTTGGAAGAGTCCAGCCTGGTGCGCTGTTCAAGCAAAAGTGCGCACATCAGCGTTTCCTTATCCCAAGGAGACCCTAGCAACTCGAAGTTGCGAATTGCAGAAACAAACAAAGAAAGAGTAACACGACACAATCAAAAGCGGAACTACGCATATACGCAGCCGAATACACCGACTAACACACATATGAATATCCATGTGCAACCTGGCACTCACATCTCTCTCCCTCTATCTATATATACATATATATAAATACACATATATACATATATATATGTATATATATAAATATATTCACATACCATTACACCATATGTACCGATGTGTGTACCTATAGGTTGCAATGTGGCAATATATTTGATGCAAGGTGTGTGGAGCACGCTTTGTAGTGTGATGCGCGTGCAAGCTATGTGGTGTAAGCTATGTGGTGCAAGCTATTCTGTGCAAGCAATGTGGCGCAATGTCAGAATGAGGGGGCCAAACGGACATTCATTGTCCCTGGGAGTGTGGCTGAAGTGGGGATCCGTGGTGAAGATTATGCTTGTTGCGTTGTTGCGTTGTTGTTTGTTTTTTTGTTTGTTTGTTTGTTTGTTTGTTTGTTTGTTGTCGTCGTCCCAACCGCGACCCACCCGCGACCCACCCCGCGACCCACCCGCGACCCACCCCGCGACCCACCCGCGACCCACCTCTGACCCAACCCGCGACCCACCCCGCGACCCACCCCGCGACCCACCCCGCGACCCACCCGCGACCCACCCCACGACCCACCCGCGACCCACCTCTGACCCACCCCGCGACCGTTCCCGCGACCAACCCGCGACCCACCCCGCAACCCACCCGCGATCCACCCCGCGACCCACACGCGACCCACCCCGCGACCCACCCCGCGACCCACTCAGTCAGAGTGAGAGGGCCGAACGGTCATTCACTTTCCCTGGGTGTGTGGCTGAAATGGGGATCCACAGCGAGAATTCTGTGTGTTTTGTTGCGTCGTCCCCCCCGCGACCCGGCCCACGACCCAACCGCGACCCACCCCGCGACCCACTCGCGACCCAACCGCGACCCACCCCGCGACCCGCTCGCGACCTACCCGCGACCCACCCGCGACCCACCCGCGACCCACCCGCGACCCGGCCTGCGACCCACCTGCGACCCACCCCGCGACACACCTACATTGCTTCAACAGAAAAAATCGGCGCCTGCGGCGGGCTCGTTGCACACCTGGAAAAGCACCTTCAGAAAAAAAACATGCGCCTGCGGCGGGCTTTTTTCGGAGCCTCGCAGACTGCCGACGCCCCCGCCGCCCCCCTCACTCTTATCCGCAACTGCGGGGTGCTGCGTGTTCAGTGCAAGCTCTGTGGCATGCGGGTGCTGCCCGTGTGGTGGAAGGCACGGGCCGCCCAGGGCCACTGCCGCTCCCCTGGGCCACGTGAGCCTCCCGGCTCTTGCTGGGCCGATGGCCCCCATGGACCCGTGGCCCCTCCGAGCTCCGAGGCCCGCCCGAGCCGCTGCGAGCCGCAGGAAGACTCCAGATTTCGTCATAAAAGGGAGGGGGCCTGGACCCTCCAAGAGAAGCCATTTCGAACCTCCCCCGCGGGAGAGCCCTCCAAAACATCGTCCCCAGATCCCCCAGGCCCCCCAAGACAGCCTGGAAGAGACCCCCCCCCCCCCCCCCCCCGAAATGAGACCCCCCTCCTTGTATTACGAACTCTGGAGTATGGACACGGTGGGCCCCGAGAACCAACGGCACGAGCAACAGGCGTCGCAGGGGCCTTGTATCGGTGGTGGACAAAACCTCCCTTTAGTCACCCCCCCTAAAAAAAACGGCCTACTACATGGGACTGGCTACACCTAGTGACTGCGCGCAATGGTTGGATTGTGTTTGACACACCGGGGCCATTGTCAGCGTGGGCCCCAAGCAGTGCGTTATTGCACCGTGGAGGTGCAAGCGGAACGGCGAGAACTATGTGGTGAAAGCTACGGCGTGTAAGCTATGTGGTGTGAGCGATGGGGATGAAAAGTCTGCGGTGCAAGATCTGATGTGTAATCGGCGGTGGACAAACCTCCCTTTAGTAGACCTCCCCTTAGTGAAAACGGCCTGGGACCGAAACCGACGGGCCTGGCCCCGCCAACATGACGGCCGCGACGCCCTCTCGCGAACCGGAAACGGCCGATTCCTGAATCGAGGTGTCAGGATAGGAGGCCTGTCCACCCCCGATTACAAGCCCCCTCGGTCGCATGAGCCCTGCGAGCCTGACCGGCCCTGAGGGACACAAGTGCTCGACTGGCCCTGTGAGCCCTACGGGCTCACAGGGCCAGTCTGAACCATTTCAAGCTGAGCTCTCCAAAGCACTCCGGAACCACCAAGACGGCCCCAGGAGAGCCCCCAGCCTGCCCAAGAGGGCCTCCAGAGAAACCAAGAGCGCCCCAATTCGGTCCGAGAGGGCTCCAGGGGATCCCTGGACAACCCAATCCTGTTCCACTATGAGCCTCATGGTCGCATGACCTGCAAAGGGCATCCAAGAAACCTGTCATGAGCCTTCAAGAAGCCTGTCAGGAGCCTCCAAGGAGCCTGCCTGTCAGGAGAATACAGAACCTGTCAAGAGCCTCCAAGAAGCCTGTCAGAAGCCTGTCAGGAGCCTCTAAGAAGACTCTGCGAAGCCTTCCACCAGCAGCCTCTGAGAAGCCTCCCAGGTGCATCCAAGAAGCCTCTCAAAAGCCAGTGTGGAGCCCCGAGAAGCCTATCTATATGAAGCCTCCGAGAAACTCTGGAGGAATGCGCAGAAACCTCTCAGATTTGCATCATGCTGAACACAATCGAAGACGTGTATTAGGAAAAACTCTCTCCTCACACATACACACACGACCACCGGTTGAACAAAAGAAGCCTACCAGGGGCGACTCAACATATCATCGGGGGATGGTTAATGGCGGGAGGCAGCTGGAGGGCGGACGGGGGAGGGGGGAGACATAGGGAGGGGACGATGCGGGGGGGGGGGGGGGGGGGAAGGGGGGAGGGGCAGGAGGACGAAAGGGGGAAGGAAAGAGGGGAGGGAGGGGTGGGGAGGGCGAAAGGGGAATGACGGAGGGAAAGGAAGGCAAGGGGATGAGGGGGAGGAGCTCAGCAGAGGAGGATGAGGGGGATGAGCTGCAGCGTTGGGCAGCCCCTTCTGGCGCACGCTCGAGCGAGGAAACTGGCAGGCAGGAATCCATGGACGGCGTGGAGGGGCAACGGGAAAGTCAGTGTCAGGACGACGAGCATACCGTGGAGGAGCGGGAGGAACGGGGAGACACGGAGCCGCAGCAGGAGGGCCCATCGGAGCGGGGCGCCCCGGAGACGCCCGAGGGAGGGAGGAGGACGAGAATCGGGAGGAGAGTTGGGAGGAGAAGGAGGGGAGGGATGAGAATCGGGAGGCGAATTGGGAGGAGATGACGCTTGAGACAGGAGGGGAAGGATGAGAATCGGGAGGAGAATTGGGAGGAGATGGCACTTGAGACAGGAGGGGAAGGATGAGAATCGGGAGGAGAATCGGGATAAACAGGAGGAAGGAGGAGGAAGCGTGAGGCGGGATCAGCAAGCAATGAAACAGGAAGAAGAGCCCCGTTGCCTGCGGCACCTGCCAATCGTAGAGCCATCTCTTGTCCAAACAAACCTGGCCGGGAAACTCACGTAGCACCCGTCAGTCACAATTTTAGATTCCTACCACATCGTTGAACTCCCCCCATGCCCAGCAGTCCCTGTTTTCGTCCTCCCGATTCTCTCTCCCCTTTTCCGCATAACCCTCCCAAGCCCCCCCGTGGGAAGTACTCATCATCCTCCTCATGCTCTTCCTGCCCGTTCGTGATTCGTCATCCTCCTCCTCCTCCACCCACTCCTCCTTCTTCCCCTCCCCCTCCTCCTGCCCGTCCTCCTCACCCTCCTCCCCCACCCCATCGCCACCCTCTCCTCGCGTTCCTAGCTGTCTCCCCGCGGGCCCGATCGTGAGAAAGAGCTGGTTGTGTGACCCCGTAACATACTGGACCCTCCTGGGGGCGCCCTGGGGCCCTTCGAGGAATTTCCAAGGCCTCCTCTGGGGCCCCCTGAGTCCAACTGATTGGGGTTAAAGATGACGGCGGCTTTGCATGGCCAGCGCCTACTACATGGGACTGGCTACACCTAGTGACTGCGCGCAATGGTTGGATTGTGTTTGACACACCGGGGCCATTGTCAGCGTGGGCCCCAAGCAGCGCGTTATTGCACCGTGGAGGTGCAAGCGGAACGGCGAGAACTATGTGGTGAAAGCTACGGCGTGTAAGCTATGTGGTGTGAGCGATGGGGATGAAAAGTCTGCGGTGCAAGATCTGATGTGTAATCGGCGGTGGACAAACCTCCCTTTAGTAGACCTCCCCTTAGTGAAAACGGCCTGGGACCGAAACCGACGGACCTGGCCCCGCAAAAAGGACGGCCGCGACGCCCTCTCGCGAACCGAAAACGGCCAATTCCTTAATCGACGTGTCAGGGTAGGAGGCCTGTCCAGCCCCGATGGTAAGCTACGAACTACGTCGTGGGACCTGTGAGGTGTGATATGGATGCGAGAGCCCTGTGGTGTCAGATCTGTGCTGCAGGCTATGCTTCAGGGGGGCGTAAGACCCGGGTACAGGGGACTCGGAAATCCCCGACGAGGTCGTCAAAAAAATGACGAGGCCGAGCCTGCATTCTGACGAGGCCTCCCGCTGCAGACACCCCACGAAACTCCTGCTCGTCAAAATCCGAGTCGCGGTCGTCAAAAAACGATGGCGAACCCGAGTCCTGGCAAACCCAGGTCTTACGCTCCCCCGAATGCTGTGTAACGCGTGCGCCCGCAAGGCGGCACGGGCGGCAGCGAGGCGCAGGCCGGCATGCCCTCCAAGCGCGAGGCGTCCACCGGGCGCCTCGCGCTTGGAGGAGGAGGAGAGGAGGAGGGAGGAGGAGGAGGAGGAGGAGGAGGAGGAGGAGGAGGAGGAGGAGGAGGAGGAGGAGGGAGGAGGAGGAGGAGGAGGAGGAGGAGGAGGAGGAGGAGGCATGCCCTCCAAGCGCGGCAGGGGCGGCGACGTGGCGCCACCCGAGACGTGCCCCCCCCCCGAACCCGCGGGCGCCCACGAGCGCCCGCGGGGCGGCACGGTGGGCAGCGCGCTGCGCCATGGCGACGCTCCCCCGCGCTGCGGGGCGCCCACGAGGCGCCCACGGAGGCAGCACGGGCTGCAGCGCGGCACGGCTTCGACGTACAGTCATCGGCCTGACCCAAGGAACGAGAAATGAGGAGCGAAGCCCCTTTTTCCAAGGGGTGACGCATAAGGAGCGATCAATAGCAAATGACGCATAAGGAACGATCAATCACGCATGCAAGCCTAAGGAACGACCGAGCCCCTTTCGGCGACTATAATGGGTGCGGTTTGCGAAGGGTGCGGTTTGCCTCCAGTCATATCTGCCCCTCCCGCCCCCGGGAAACGGATGACACTGTCACTCAATGCGACCGAATCACATGACACTGTCACTTTCTCTAATACAGTGGAGCACACATCGAGGATGACAATGCCGCTCGAAACGACTACAGTTATGACACTGTCTCTCACAGAGGCCCCGGAAAGGCCGTCACAAAGCAACTCGCAAACCGGACCCCGGCGTAACCGCACTCATTGCAATCGCCGACCCTTTTGAAAAGTAAGTGTTCCTTCCTCGAGCCGCTCACTGTAGTTCACCCCCCCGATCGCGAGGCGCCCACGGGGCGCGCGGACGGCAGCGCGGCCCCAACCTCGACGCCTCCCCGAGAGGGGCGAGGCGCCGTCGCGGCGCCCCCGAGGCGCCCACGAGGCGCCCAGCGCGGCGCGACTCCTCGACGTGCCCACCGAGCGCGCGGGCGGGGGCAGGCGAGGCGAGGCGCTTCCGTGAGGCGACCGCGAGGCTGCAGCGCTGTACACTCTGCGAAATGCTCAAGAAACCATGGGTTAAGAAATTCATGGTCTCAGAATCTGAGTACAAACCCCGCATTTTTTTAACACTTACATTGAAACTTTACGAATCATCGAGACTCTGGCCGAAAAAGTAAGTTTTCTTAAGCATCGCCTGGGGTGTACAGCCTGGACGTGCGCCAGCGTGCCTCTGGACACGGGCCGGTGGCTCAAAGGTGGGGTCCTGAGAGATGGGGGCCTGAGGGTAGAAAGACGGTTCGACACTGGGCGAGCCTGAGGGATGGGGGCCTGAGGATGTGAGCGTGTTCACTCGCACTCGGCGTTTCGACATTGGGCGAAAGGGGAGAGGGGGGGGGGGTATGGCTCCAGACCTCTGCTTGACGCGACGGTTTGCAAGACTGCGACCTGTGGGGGAGACTCCACCTGCTCGAAACAGGCGCCAAAAACAGCCAAGAACTACTCCGGGGGGGGGGAGGGGGGAAAGGGGGGAGTGGGAGCGCCAGGCGGGGGGGGGGGGGGGGCGCACCCGGGAATGTCTGCGCCTGGGGCAGCGGGGCGACGGCGCACATTTCACGGAGCGCGCGAGGAAGGCGAGGCGAGTGCCCTGCCAAGGCATGGGGGGCCCGCTGCCGCCGCCACCCCGCCGACGGCGGCGCGCCGCCGGCGGCTCGCGCAGGGCCGCGGACTCCAGAGCCCCCGCCGACGGCGGCAGCTGCGGGATAACGGAGATATACAGCCCAACAAACTCGACGGGTAATTAGGCGGACCTCCGCCGCCGGCCCCAGACCTGCAGGCGCGCGCAGAACTGCGCGGGGCGGCGCCCCGCGAGCCCCCGAAGTCGAGGAGCTCGCGGAGCGACGCGCGCCCGAATGCGCGCGACGCAACGGCGGGATCTGGCCGCGGCTGCGACCCAGGCCACGCTGCGCGCGGGGCCCCGATCCACAGGGTGCGCGGGCTCTGATTGGAAGGGGCTCGCGCCTGGAGGAGCAGGCGCGAGGCCCGAGCAGTTCGCTGCGAGAAGGGCCAGATGTCGAGCGGGTCGACCACGCTCCACGCCGCGCGGACAGGATCGCCCCGGGCTGCAGCGCGACGCGGCGGAGTCCAGACCCGACGGGCGCGCGGGGCGGGCGCTGCAGAGTGCCGCGAGGGAGCCCGCGCGGACCGGAGCCCCGCCCTGGCGCGCCCGGGCCCCCCAACGGATTGAGGCCCTCACGCGGTCTGGAGACACGAATGACGAGAGCCCAGCCAGTCGCGGTGGACGGCGCTGCCCGGCGCGCAAAACTGAAGCACGAGAGGCCAGCGCAAAACCCGGAGCAGAACATCGAGCGCGACGCGAGGAAGCCGCAACCCGACGGACACGCAGAGCTCCGCCGCGCGCTGGCCGCTTGCAGGTTTGAACGGACGCGCCGCCGAACTGCCTGTGGCTCCAGACGGGCTGCGATCTCTCAGCGCACCTGCTTTATCGAATAGGTGACGCAAGGGCGCGCTCGAAGCCTGCGGCCGTCGCGACAACGTCGACGACGCGCGCCGCGTTCGCGCCAGCGGGAGGCACCGCGCCCACGCCATGCGTACGTCGGGCCAGATGTGCGGCATCCAGGCAGGGACTGCGCCAGGCACTTCGCCGTGAGAGCGACGGCGCAAGCCTGGTGACCGAGGCGCGTTTCTGCCGCTTTCTCGCCATCAACGGGGAGCGGGAAGATGCGAATTTCAAGTCGACCTCCCAAGACACACTCGCTGCTGTGAGGAAGCTCTGCTTTCCAGTGCGCCCTGGAGAAATCGCCCCCGCGTGGGGTTTCGCGTCGCCGGCCTGCGTGGTAACGAAACTAGCACTGGAAATAAATGTGCGAGGCTACATCCGGCGAGAGCACCGCCGATCACGCGACGCCAGAGTTCCCGCAAGTAGACGACCCGCTGGGCAAATCTCTATTTGTATTCTGGGCGCAGAAAACACGGAATCGCCGCGCCATTCCAACGAGGCGGGAGTTGGGGGGCCCAAAAATGTACACCGCCACCACCTCCCTCAACCCCCTCCCTCTCCCAGGAAGGAGGAGAGGAAGAAGAGGGTAGAGGAGGAATCGGCGTGGTGGTGGTGTATATTCTTTGGGTCCCCAGGAGTGTCACGCAGCGTATGAACGATCCAATCGGATGCCTTTGTGAATGAGCTTGTGGTTCTGAAGCTCGCACCCAAGCGGGTTCCTGAGATCTTGCGCCTGACTGCTCCGCGCTCACACTCCGTGACGTTCGTGCCTCGGGAGCGCCCGCCCGCGCCCCCAGACGGGCGCGAACCGCAAGCGCAACAACAACAACGATCCGGGGAGAAACGGAGCAATCCAAACTGAAAGGCAACACGAGGAGAACAAGAAACGCAGCGACAAAAGGACGGCTGGGGAGGCCCACCACCTCAGAGCATGAAACACATCGGTCGTAAGGAGTTGGTTTGCTGTTCGCCATGGCAGGAATCATGTCCTTGGACCCAGCATGTGTTCTTCCTGCGCTCGGTTTTCGGATTCCCGCATTGGTTTCCGCGAAGATCGGATTCACGAACTGTTCTTGCTTTGGCGATTGGATTTATGCTCGGACTCGATGATCGGATTCATGGACTGAACCCAGAATATGGTGACCCGTTTCCTCGCTTGATGCCTGAATCGTTCCTGAACTGATGCCCGACTTCGGTCCCAAACAGATTCCTGAATTGACTCCTGCAGAGATTTTTGAATGGAATCCTGAATGCATGCGGAAGAAAATTCAAGGGTTCCTAGACTTTTTCGCGACGTGTGCTTCCCAGATTCGGCAATCGAGCTCCTGAAGTGATTCCTGAATTCGATTACCGAATCCTGGATCGCTTCATGCATTGACTCCTGATTTTGTTTCGGAAGCCCGCAGCGCTGAAGCGGGCGTACAGTGTGCGTGTGTGTGTGTACTGTTTGCGTGTGCTTGGATTCGTTTGTGTGCGTGTTTGTGTTCGTGCGCGCTTGTGTACGCCAGCACGTGATCTTGAGCGTGTGGGTGCGACATTATGTTTATTTGATCGAATGGTTGTGGTTCAGTGCGTTTGTGTGTACACTAGGGGTGCGATGGTGCCCTTGTGCGTGTGACTGTGTGTGTGCGCGTGTGTGTTCAGGTGTGTGTGTGTGTGTGTGCGTGTGCGTGTAGTTGTGTTGCCCCTGCTGGTTCCTCAATTTGCCTCCCCCGCCATCCTCACCTGCGCCTGGGGGGAAGGGAGGCGACTCCCCCGTGTCGCCGCTCGTCCAGCTCTCGGGCCATGACTCAGCCATCCGGCGGCCGTTCGGGACGATCTGGACACCCCCAGAACGCGCACGACGAGGCGCAGCTGATGGAAACCACCGTGGTCTTCGAGAGCAATCGACAGAAAAGATGACTCGATAGGACGAGAAACTTCCTCGTTGTCTCCGCTCGTGGCCCCGTCTGCGCACTCCCGGCGCCCCCCACCGCGCCTTCTGCGTGTGGTCCCAGGCGTCCAGCGGCGCGCTCTCGTCGCGGCAGTCGACGTAGAAGGAGGACGCTGCCAGAGGGGTGGGACGGGGGGAACCCCTCCACCACCTGCTCCCGTCGACGTGCGCATAATTACCAAGCGTTTTTCGGCCGAGACAAACAGTGGCGTTTTGATGGCTTGCCGCTTTCGGCTTCTGAGGCCCTCGCCAGGCCCGGGGATCGTGACAAACAACTCAGGATGAGAAGCCAGCCCCAGACAAGTGGTCAAGACTTATGGGGTCGACATTGAAAGAAAGCACAAGGCACCTTTGGCCAAAGGTGTCGCCAAGACTTCCAGGGAGGCCAATACGGTCTCCAGGGCTCCCCGGTCGCACCCCCGAGAGCTCGAGGGGCTCCAAAACGGAGCGGGAAGCCACGGACTCCTTGGGTCAGAGCCACTTCTCGCAACACCCGAACACAATGCTCTCGCTTCTCGTGCTGATCCACCCCTGCAAACAAACGCAGCCAGGAACACGGAACACACACACAGACACACACACACACACACGGTCGGACTTGCACGCGGACAGTGCGGCTGCCACGCGCTGGGCGCGCATGCGCGGCGCAAGCCGCGGGTCGATGTAAGAGGCTGAGGGTTGAAAGCGCTTGTGGCCACGTGTGCATCCAGCTTTCGCCAAGGATAATCACCCCATGTGTATCTAGTTTTCCGGTAAGTCGTTCGCAAACCTCGCGCTAGCAAAGGCCGTGCGAAATCTAGAGCCGAGAAGAAGGCGGCCGACAGCGGTACTTTCTGAAAAGCAGCTACGCCTAAGCTCGCATGTTCCCATGGGAGCGCCTCCGCCAACAAAACATACGCTGGACACTCGAGGCCAAGTTAGTCATCGAATGAGGTTGGTTGATCTATGACACCTGAACGGGGTGTCGCCGCCTCTAGCTTTAGCAGCATTGCAGACCTTGAGCATGGACGCGTAGTACAGAGACAGCGCCAATGGCGTGTGTAGCGGGGGATGTCGATGTCGAAAGGCCTAGACTGCGCATCTAGGTTCCCCAGCCAGACCTTACAACAAAAACTAAACAGGCGCACCGAGTTTTCGCCACGTTGCCGCGCGTGCCGACCCATGAACGCCTTGTGGGTGCTCCGTGCGCTGGGTGGGTTCCCTGGGGTATCGTGCCGCCCGTGCCGCCTCGTTATTCGCGGGCTCGTAATACTGCAGCTAGCACCACATATATTATTTCTCTTCTTTGTTTAAAACAAGTTCTACCACCCTCGCCCCCCCGGACCCATCCATTCACCAGGAACCGATGTAAACACACATCGGGTTCCAGCCAAACCGGTGTCGGTCCGCCTATCGGTTCCCTTGCAACAAATATTATGCCCGCGCGCTCGTTTATCACATTCTCATATCTATATATATATATATATATATATAAGTCGGAGGTGAGGGGGTGAGATCGAAGTGGAACGGAGAGCCCCCCTACCGGGAAATTAATTTCGGTTTCGTGTTCGTGCGTGCCGTGCTTGCGGGCGAGGCGAAGCTGCGTGGGCGGGCGACAGAAAGTCTCCTATGGCTGAGGCGCGGCCGGACCAAATGTCTCCCTTCCGGGCGGCCGGGGCCCCGCGGTGTCCCGCCGGTGTCCCGTGTGGCTGAGGCGCGGCCGGACCAAATGTCTCCCTTCCGGGCGGCCAGGGGCCCGCGGTGTCCCGCCGGTGTCCCGCTGGTGTCCCGTGTGGCTGAGGCGCGGCCGGACGAAATGATTCCCTTCCGGGCGGCCGATAGTGAGATCGATAGTGAGACCGAATGTGAGATCGATTGTGGATTCTCTTGTGAAATCGATAGTCAGATCGATCGTGAGATCGATCGATTGAGTAAGTAGTGAAACCACTATCGGTAATGAGATCGGTCGTGATTTCGATAGTGAGATCGATGATGAGACCGAATGTGAAATCGATTGTGAGTTCTATTGTGATATCGACAGTGATATCGATAGTGAGATCGATAATGAGATCGAAAGTGAGTTCGATCGAGAGATCGATAGTGAGGCCGAATGCGAAATCGATTGTGGCATCGATTGTGATATCGATCGTGAAATCGATAGTGAGACCGAATGTGACATCGATAATGAAATCGATCGTGAGTTTGATAGCGAGATCGATAGTCTGATCGAATGCGATATCGATGGTGATATCGATTGTGAGACCAATAGCGAGACCGATTGTGAGATCGAATGTGGGATCGATTGTGAGATTGATTGTGAGATCGATAGTCAGATCAATTGTGAGATCTATCGATTGAGATCGATTGTGAGATCGGTAGTGAGTTCGATAGTGAGATCAATCGAGTGCGACGTTGGTCCCTCCCCCCCTCACCTCCTTATCGCCCGAAGGGTGGTCCATGCGGTATATATATATTTAAAATTAGCCTGGCGAAAGACCCAACCATATGCAGTTGTGAATGCCGCAATTGTGCTGGGTGGTGGCGGACGCATGCGGGCGGTGCCAGTGGGACCGTCGGTGGAGCTCCCTATGGGGCCACGAAGCGCTGTACTGGGTGGGTGAGACGCGGTCAGCAAGGGCTGTGCTGCGTGGTGGCGGACGCATGCGAGCGGTGCCACTGGGACCTTCGGTGGAGCTCCCTATGGGGCCACGAAACGCTGTACTGGGGGGGTGAAACGCAGGCAGGGAGCAAGGGCTGTGCAGGCTGGTGGCGGACGCATGCGGGCGGTGCCGCTGGGACCTTTGGTGGAGCTCCCTATAGGGCTACGAAGCGCTGTTCTGGGCGGGTGAAGCGCAGGGAACAAGGGCTGTGCTGGGTGGTGGCGGACGCAAGCGGGCAGTGCCACTGGGACCTTTGGTGGAGCCCCCTATGGGGCCACGAAACGTGCGAGGGGTGTGCCAGAATGGGGTGCGGAACCGCATGGCAGCGCAGCCACTGGGGCCTTCGGTGGAGCTCCCTATGGATCCACGAAGCGTGTGAGGGGTGTGCCGAAATGTGGGGTGGAACCGCATGCGAGCGCAGCCAATGCGGCGTTCGGTGGAGCTCCCTATGGGGCCACGAGACGTGTGAAGGGCGTGCCGAAAAAAGGGAGTGGAACCGCATGCGAGCGCAGCCACTGGGGCCTTCGGTGGAGCTCTCAATGGGGCCACGAACCGTGTGAGGGGTGTGCCGAAATGGGGGGGGAACCACATGCGAGCGCAGCCACTGGGGCGTTCGGTGGAGCTCCCCATGGAGCCACCCACGAAGCGTGTGAGGGGTGTGCCGGAATGGGGGGTGGAACCGCATGCGGGCGCAGCCACTGGGCCTTCGGTGGAGCTCCCTATGGGGCCACGAAACGTGTGAGGGGTGTGCCAGAATGGGGTGGAACCGCATGCGGGCGCAGCCACTGGGGCCTTCGGTGGAGCTCCCTATGGGGCCACGAAACGTGTGAGGGGTGTGCCAGAATGGGGGGTGGAACCGCATGCGGGCGCAGCCACTGGGGCCTTCGGTGGAGCTCCCTATGGGGCCACGAAACGTGTGAGGGGTGTGCCAGAATGGGGGGTGGAACCGCATGCGGGCGCAGCCACTGGGGCCTTCGGTGGAGCTCCCTATGGGGCCACGAACGTGTGACGCCAGAATGGGGGGTGGAACCGCATGCGGTTCGGTGGAGCTCCCTATGACGATGGAGGGGTGGAACCCGCATGCGGGCGCAGACTCGGGGCGGCGTGTATTGAAGTGTGAGGGGTGTGCCAGAATGGGGTGGGGCCTTCGGTGGAGCTCCCTATGGGGCCACGAAACGTGTGAGGGGTGTGCCAGAATGGGGGGTGGAACCGCATGCGGGCGCAGCCACTGGGGCCTTCGGTGGAGCTCCCTATGGGGCCACGAAACGTGTGAGGGGTGTGCCAGAATGGGGGGTGGAACCGCATGCGGGCGCAGCCACTGGGGCCTTCGGTGGAGCTCCCTATGGGGCCACGAAACGTGTGAGGGGTGTGCCAGAATGGGGGGTGGAACCGCATGCGGGCGCAGCCACTGGGGCCTTCGGTGGAGCTCCCTATGGGGCCACGAAACGTGTGAGGGGTGTGCCAGAATGGGGGGTGGAACCGCATGCGGGCGCAGCCACTGGGGCCTTCGGTGGAGCTCCCTATGGGGCCACGAAACGTGTGAGGGGTGTACCAGAATGAGGGGTGGAACCGCATGCGAGCGCAGCCGCTGGGGCCTTCGGTGGGGCTCCCTATGGGGCCACGAAGCGTGTGAGGGGTGTGCCAGAATGGGTGTGGGAAGGGGGAGGAGGGGGGAGGAGGGAGGGAGGAAGGAGGCGGGAACGCGGGGCACCGTCTCTTCAAAACGAGGACCCAACACCACAAGATGGTTGGGAAAAACGGTTTGCCAAAACATGGACGAAGTGCGCACGCGCGCGTCGTCGCGCGCATGCTGAAATACTTCAAAAACCTCGGGTGTCCGAAGGATCTCAAAATCGATTGTCCAACAATCATTAAACAAACACAAAGGGTTCGCAATACGGATGTTCAACAAAAGCGTGCGCGCTTTTGCGAATTCTTAAGAAAACCAAGAGTTGTTCAACATGTTCATAAGATGCTACCGAACGGGCTTCGCGCGCGCATGTCGAAATCGTTCGAACGCCCTTTTGCGCGCGTGGTGGGGTGGCCCGATCCGCGTCAAAAAATACCATGCGAGCCACTCTCGCGCGCTTGCCGCGCGCGCACTTTGAATTCCTTCCAACACCTTCATCACCGACGCGAACACGCCGTCATCGTCGTCGGCGAAAACGGCATCGGCGCATCGTGTCTACAATTGTCGTCACCACCATCATCACTATCATCGTCATCGTGTCTTCAATTGTCGACGTTGCCATGATAGCGCGCACGCCGAAGCCGCCGACTCGCACTCAAGTGCCCGCTAGGATGTGCCGAGCGGACAACACCACCGCGGCCTCGCCGACCGCGCCAAACTACCTGGCCGCTGCGCGCGCGCATGCGCGGGCTGGCACGGCCGCAGAGATGCACCGGCCATCGCCAAGCACTAATCGCAGTCGCCGCCGCATGAGGTTTGCAAACTAAGTTGCGGGTGGGTGGGTGGGATGTTTGCAAGGGCGGCGGAGTGGACAATTCAATGCGAACAGTAATTGTTTGCACCAAATATGTTGCACCATACAACTTTGACTGCAAAGTGTACGCGTCACAGTTTACGGCGCATTACTTTCACCTCGACTCAAGACCGCATAATTTGAAAGGCATAACTTACATCCACCCTCACAACTGACTGTTGCTGGCACGCGCTGGCTAACACACACACATGTAAATGTATTGACTGAGACGAAGGGATAACCAAGATTGATATATATATATAAACGTACAAAACCGTAGGAGCCCGTGAGAGAAAGAGAGAGAGAGAGAGGGATCGAAATAAAGAGAGAGAGAGAGAGGGATAAAACGCTGCCGTCGACGCCCAATGCTAACAGCCAAAGGCGATGATCAGAGGAGGCAAAAAATAGGCAACAGCGACAAATCGAAACCCAGTGCCCAACACAACAGGCAACACAAGACCGAGCAAGATATCCCGTACAAGACCCCGCACAAGACCCCCGTGAACATTCTTTCTGTCAGTACTACATGTGTAACTGGGTGTGCATGAAAGCGGAGTGATGTTAGGCGGCGAACAAACCAAACGGTGAGGCATTACGCTGTGCAGGTAATACGTCTGCGGTGCAAGCTATGTGGTATAAGCGATGCACCGTACGGTGTGTATAGTGAGCCAGGGGTGTAGAAGCTACGCGTACAAACTATGTGGTGCAAGCTATGTCGTGTAATCGACGTGGCGTGATGTAAAGCTATGTGGTGTCAGTTATGCGATGTAAGCTGTGGCATAAGCTATGCGGTGTAAGCTGTGTTGCCAGCTACGTGGTGCAAGTTACGTGGTGCAAGTTAGGTGGTGCAAATTACGTGGTGCGCATCCTCGGCGGATCCACTCACCAGCACGGGGGGGCAACGTGGACAAGCCTCGGCGGACTGTTCAACAACTTAAAGAAATCAAGTGTGACCCGCTAGATGAAAACAAGGCTTAGCGAATGTATCTGCCAACGTGCCTTCAGCGCGTAGTGGCGTGCCCTGCGGCTCATACGGATGTGAGGATCTAGGGAATTGCGGGATCCTGACGAACTCAGACAACAAACTTGCCAAGCCATTTCGGCCATGCCTTGCGCTTCCGACGCGTGGCCGATGGCTGTCTGGGAAGCGTTCTGCTGCTCCGAGCCGGCTCCGGGGTCCCCGAGGCCCTCCCGAGGGATGCTCAGGACGGCCTCGGACCCCGCGGCAGCCCAAGAGACCATCCTGTGGCTCGCTCGAGGGCTTCTTGGGCCGCCGTGGGCGCCACGAAGGGCCAGCCCAAGGTGCCCACGTCACGGAACACCGCGTTATGGCCGACGAAGCAGACAGCAGACCCACAGAGGCCCGCAGGAGAACCACGGACCGCAGGAGAGGCCCCCCCAGAGGGGCCCCGAGAGGCCCCAGAGAGGTCCGCAAGAGGTTCAGGAAAGGCCTCCAGGATGGCCCCCCCGCCCCTCACGGGGCCCAAACTGGTGTCTTGCCTACGGCCAAGGCATATGGTGGCGGGATGGGCCCAAGGCCGTTGTATACAGAAGAGGGAGAGAGAAAGAGAAAGAGAGAGAGAGAGAGAGAGAAACAAAAAAAAAGAGAGAGACAAAAACGCGAGAGAGAGAGAGAGAGACAAAAAAACGAGAGAGAGAGAGAGAGAGAGGGAGATAGAAAGAGAGAGAGAGAGAGAGAAGCAAACGTATGTATGCTTACGCCTCGGGGTTATAATATCCGCCACTGTGCCCAGAGGCACGCGTTGGAGTGTCCCCAGGTCTCTTCGAGCTCACTGTAGTGAGCACTGCCCGAATTCCAAAGGTCCTGGCGCTCTCGGGGTCGGTCGCGTGAATAGCCCAATGATCAGAATGTCCCAAGACGGTGCAAGAGGGCCCCAAGGAGCGCCCAAGAGTTCAAGGAGCCTCCAAGACGGCCCAAGAGCGCTCCAAAATGCCCCAAACGGCCCACAGGCGGCCCAAGAGGCCCCCAAGACGCCCCAAGAGGGCTCCAAGAGGCCCTCCAAGAGCCCCCCGAGATGCCAAAAGCATTGAATTACATAACGGTTGCAAGCGGTTTTGGTGTTATCACATTTTCGGCGACGCTCCAAGACAGCCCAAGGGGCCACGAAGATGGCCCAAGACGACCCCAAGAGGCACCGAAGGGCGCCCCCAGACGGCCCAAGATACCCGAAGACGGCCTTCAAGACTGCCCAGTCGGGACCCAAGAGGGCCCAAAGACAGGCCCCAGAGGGGAACACGTACCGACATTTCGAGCCCTTTGCCACAAGATGGCCCCAGAGACCACCAGCAGGCATCCAAGAGGCCCACAATAAGCTTCAAGAGGCCCGCAAAAAAGCACACATCAGACCCCAAATGCCCGCAAGAGACCCCTGAGAGGCCCCCAAGACGCCCCAACATCGAATCCAAGAGGCTCCAGATAGGCCTCCCAAGAAGAGCGCCACAGGCATCCCAGGCACGGTGGCGAGATAGGCCGAAGGACACTGTATCCGCCGCCCCCCGTTGATTCATCACTGGGGTGCCTGGTGTGCCAAATCCTTTCGCTCTTGGTTTTGGTTCTTTTCCAACGAAAACTCCCCCTGAGGCTTCGGCCGATCTCGCCAAGGTCCCGGAAAGGTCCAGAAACGACCTCAACGACCTCAAGCAATTCTCCAAGACGGCTCAAGATGGCCTCTGAGATGGTCACGTTGGCCCAAGATGGCCTCCAAGATGGTCCAGGATGGCCTCCAAGTCGCAAAAGATGGCTTCCAAGACGGCCCGAGAGAGTCCAAAATGCCTTCAAGTTCGTCCAAGAAGCCTCCAAGACGGCCCAAGATGGCTCCAAGATGGCCTATGACTGGTCAAGAGGTCCCCAAGGGGCCTCCAAGACGTCCTCCACAAGGAAGACCCGAAAGGGCAAACTCATTGATTGTCCTTAGGTGTTTGAAGGATTTGGGCAATTTCTTCTTATCAGCTCTCCGACGGCCCAAGACGGCCCAAGAGGCCCCCAACATCGTCCCAAGAGCGCCCAAGAAGCCGCCAAGATGGCCCCATGACAGCCCAACAGGCCCCAAAGAGGGTTCCAAGAAGAGACCAAGACGGCCCAAGATGGCCCCCAAGACTCCGAAGATGGCCTCCAAGACGGCCAAGAAGGCCTCCAAGACGGCGAAGACGGCCCCAAGATGCAACCAAGACTGCCCCAAACGACCTCAAGATGGCCTTAGACTGCCCAAAACGCCCGCAAGAGGCCTCCAAGACGGCCCAAGAGCCCTCCCAGACGTCCTCCAGGACAGCCCGAAAGCTCAGAAACCACCTGGCCCGATAGCTCGCCCGACCCCG